GTACCAGTGATAAGACACCACCACAGTCAACTGGGCTCTCCAATACAGAGCCCTGAGGTCAGAAGAACCCTGAGGTAAGCAGAATAGTAGAGGTGACTCTGGAATTAGCAGTGAGCTAAAAATAAACTCCAGGGAGGGAGAGGACAGAACTATTGTCATAGAAACTGTGGTGTTAATTTTTTATGAAGAGTGTTGCTATGTAAAAGGTAGTTGATGAAGGGCAGTTGGATCTAGTGTCCTCTGCTGTAGAGGGAACGCTAACTTAAGCAGGTGGTCCTCAATGTCTTTACAAAGTCATGATCTCAGGTGATGTATAAAAAGTTCATAAAATAACATGACCCGAACAGATCTCTTCATGATGATCTATCTATACACTACATCACCAAAAGTATGTGGACACCTGCTCATTGAACATCTCATTCCAAAATCATGGGCATTAATATGGAGTTGGTCCCCATTTGCTTCTATAATAGCCTCCACTCTTTTGGGAAGGCTTTCCACTAAATGTTGGAACATTGCTGCGGGAACTTAGCCACAAGAGCATTAGTGAGGTCGGGCACTGATGTTGGGCGATTAGGCCTGGCTCGCAGTCGGCGTTCCTATTAATCACAAAGGTGTTCGATGGGGTTGAGGTCAGGGCTCTGTGCAGGCCAGTCAAGTTCTTCCACACGATCTCTACAAACCATTTCTGTATTGACCTCGCTTTGTGCACGGGGGCATTGTCATGCTGAAACAGGAAAGGGCCTTCCCCAAACTGTTGCCACAAAGTTGGAAGCACAGAATCATCTAGAATGTCATTGTATGCTGTAGCGTTAATATTTCCCTTCACTGGAACTAAGGGGCCTAGCCCGAACCATGAAAAACAGCCCCAGGCCATTATTCCTCCTCCACCTAACTTTACAGTTGGCATTATGCATTGGGGCAGGTAGCGTTCTACTGGCATCTGCCAAACCCAGATTCATCTGCTGGACTGCCAGATGGTGAAGCGTGATTCATCACTCTAGAGAACGCGTTTCCACTGCTCCACAGTCCAATGGTGGCGAGCTTTACACCACTCCAGCTGACGACTGAGGAGATGCTGCTGGTTTCCAGCTGTAGTAGGCCCAGGGTGAGAGGTCAGCAGGGTGGAGTGGGCAGCCTGGGCCTACGCAGGTTCCTACAGGCCAGACACAGCTGGATACTGCCATCCTCAGAGAGGAGACGCTCACACTGCCAGGCCTAATTTTAATTTTTAATTGTACCTTTATTTAACTAGGCAAGTCAGTTAAGAACAAATTCTTATTTACAATGACGGCCTACACCGGCCAAACCCGGACGACGCTGGGCCAATTGTGCGCCGCCCTATACCACTGCAGGGAACAGAGAATAGAACACACACACACACACACACACACACAGAAATCATCATAAAATTAATCACATTCAATTCATTATGTTTTTACAAGATTCTACAATGTTGATGGATATAGGCCTAACAAACTGCAACAGTAACACAGCAAACATCTATATGTCCTTGGCCTTGTCAACTTGATACATTTTACATCAGTGTAGGCTCTAATCCAAGGCTCTCCAACCCTGTTCCTGGAGAGCTACCCTCCTGTAGATTTTCTCTCCAGCTCCAGTTGTAACTAACCTGAATCAGTTTATCAACAGCTAATTATTAGAATCAGGTGTGCTAGATTAGGGTTCGGGGAAAAACCTACAGGAAGGTTGCTCTCCAGGAAAAGGGTCGGTTTCACTAGTTACCACAGCCACAAAGTCAAAGTTGTGTGTATATAAAATTAGCTTTTTGGTCTTCATTTAAGGTCAGCGTTAGGCATAAGGTTAGCAGTGTGGTTAAGGATTGGGTTAGGTTTAAAATCACATTTTATAGAAAATAAATTGTAGAAATGGGCGGGGTTTATAACTTTGTGGCGGTGGTAACTAGTGACGACCCTAATCTATTTACAGTAACAGCGCTGTCCACTAGTCTAGCGGAGAGAACATTGCAATACGCTTGTTTCCTTCACCGATACATCGAGACAGTAATAAAACCAAGACGTGTATATTTTCCTGTTCGCTCCGGTAACTAACACGATATTGGTCATTCTTTCTTGTTTAAATCAATATAATTATGTATAAATACAGCAACAAGTTGTCCACAAACTGTAGAGTACGTCGTTGAAATCTGACTTCTGCCCCTTGCTAACCCCGCCTCCTATGGTATGATTGGGCGACATGACATCCCAGCCCCAGCCAATAGCGTTTAGACTACTGTCAGCCCAGATAGACGAAATGGTTGAGTAGAAAAAACTGTGGAAGTCTGTCACATATTCATATCCTGAACTGTGATTCACATAAATCTATATCCATTGGTCATATTATGAATGTAGTCTTTATTGTAAAGCAAAACAATAGACAATTCATTATTTTGGTGATTTCTGTTTTATTTTGTCTGTAACAAATTATTACCATGACAAATCAGACCAAATTCGATGTTTTTACTGATAAAACAAACAAACATTTGAGTACAAAGATCTTATAAAACTCAACCATTATTAAATGTCCTTGTGCACTAACACTAATAACCTCTATACAACTTAATTACTATACAATAAGTATGCCCTCATTCTCTTTATAGATGGAATATCTGTAGTAATATCATAATAAAGCATTCATACATGATGAAACATTGAGATGCTGTGAACGGGTCCCTTTTTGGTCTTAATGATATATATCAATGCATGCCTCATCCATACTGCTGACTACCAGACCATTACCTTTGGACTACAATATATGTACAAATATACTTCCCACAGGGCAATATAAAGTTAGCTCATGGTCAGGAGATAATTAGAAAATTATAAATGAAATACAGAAATAAAACATTATCAACTTACTTTTTAAATATTCCCTGTATATAGTATGCTTACTTACTTAATTGTGTATTTCATCATTCCCATTCCTATTTCTCTGGTGTTTGTTTCTATTAATACATTGTTATTGATTACTGCATTCTTCGGTTTTGAGTTTGCAAGAAAGGCATTTCACTGTGCATGAGACATTAAAACTTGAAACTTGAATAGTGTTTGATTTGGGTCTCAGCCTATAACTGAACACAACCTATAAAGATGGCCCATAATGACATATAGTGACACCACAATGTGAATAATAAGTTCCAGGGGCAAAGGTTGCTGATTAGAAGGAGAAGGCCCCTGAGTAAAGTTGAATCTGTGTGTGATTGTAGGAAGTATGACATCAAAACTAGGCCTGTAGACCATGAAGATTGATAACATATTGAAGTCATTTAGGGTTCAAACCTTCCAAGCTAATGGTGTAAAAATTGCATAATCATAATAGCTACTATAGTAACGGTCTTGTTGTACAACAACTGTCCTTGTGTGCAGTTGAGATTGTCTGAAATCCTTCTGACCGATTATCATCCTCACCTTAACTCTATTCAGAAACCCTCTAACCACCATTCAGCTCTCACTCTCTTTCAACAGAGATACATCATAAACAGTTGTTTTCCTGTTCAGAACAACTGTCCATTTTAACACGTTCAATACAACACAATGATAGCTTAGAACAAAATGTGTTGTATAAAGGTAGCAAACATACTAACCATTTAAAAAATCCTTCTCTCTAGAAGCATAGTTTCCTACAATTCCCTTTCGAAAGATCCATCCGAACGTACAGTTGGCCCATCCTCTCCCCTCCAGTCTGGATCCTGATTAGCACCATAATCTGATCAGTATGGACCGAACATGGACCAGCACTAATGCATCTTATTTATGACCTGATCAGTATGGACTGAACATGGACCAGCAGTAATGCAGCTTATTTATGATCTGATCAGTATGGACTGAACATGGACCAGCAGTAATGCAGCTTATATATGATCTGATTTGGACAGTGATTTGGTCACAAATATGAATGAGAACCAGCATTTGTAATGTTATTTAAGGCATATCCTCCACCCCACATTCCACAAAGCCAACTGCCATTTTCTGAAACGACTCTCGACTGAGACATTGAACGAAATACAAAACTACAAAATTGAATTTAGAAAATTGCACAATGTACAACTTTGTACAACTTTTCCCATGCAAAAAGAAAAGCTGATCAGTACCCAAATATATAAACAGAAAGCAAACTAAACAAAGAAATATAAACAATACATATAAATATCAATACAAAACATTATTATTTGAGATTGAACAAGATCTATTGAAGTACATACACAACGATGTCTTTGAGCACCCTTGGTCAAATATCACTGGCAGACACTGTGACAAAGTGTACTGCCAGAGAGTACTACAGTTGAGATATGGTCAAATGATGGTTATTGCCCATGTTATTAATTTGTTCATCCCTTGTAACTCTTTACTCAAAGCCAATAGATTAGATATAATGTTATAATGTTAGATATCTATTTCTATATGACACATTGTCAACAGATTCAAAATGGGTGATAGTAAGTCAGGATCATGTAAAGAGTCATATAATGCATTGACTACATGATCATTATCCCTGTTGGCTCTAAGCAAAGTGTACAAAGAAACTGTCAGAGTGACTGAGATGAATAAACTTGCAGAAGAATACAAACTTTTAAGGTATCAAAATAAAAATAAAGTATCCAAACTGAACACTGATGGTTTGCTTAATGAAGACATCTGATTTACATTCAAGCAGTCTTCTTAAAGAAAACACAATTGAATTCATAGATGTGACATTACATTACACTGCATTAAACAAGGTGGAAACTTTATACTAATTTCTAGCACAATTTGGAATAATTGCTACATTTAAAGAAGTGCAGAACTTTCATTGCTACATTTCACTTTGGCTTCTCTAGCTGAGACAACAGACAGCCATTCATAATTTGTCTGTCATTTTTCTGTGCATCAAAAGTTGAACTGAGTTGAACTTTTGACTTATAGACGGAGGCCTAATGCGTTGTTGATGCGTTTCAGCCATCTGTCTGTCTGTCTGTGTGTGCTGGCCCAGGGGTGCAGGCCCTAAGCTTGGCTCTCCAGCAGCACTCGGTGGATCTCCTGGAAGGAAGGCCTCTCCTTGGTGTTCCTCCTCCAACAACACAGCATGATCTTATACAAAGAGTCAGGACACAGCACTGGCTGGGGCAGGTAGATCTACAACACATAGACAAGCCAATCAGGTACAATACAGTAGAACATAGACAGGTATATCTGTAGCAAAAGAGTGAGTCAGTGTGAGTGTGTCTCTCACCTGTCGTTTCTGGTCCCTGAAGAACTCCCCAGTGTTCTCTATGACCTGTTCGTCAGTCAGCTGGGAGTAAGGCTGCTCCTTACAGAAGGTCAGGGTCTCCCACAGCGTCACCCCAAACGCCCACATGTCACTGGCTGTGGTGAACTTACCCTGGGAGTGAAGAGGCAGAACAACAGACATTAGGCTACGTAAGTTATTGAGTTTAAATGATTTGTAAGGGCTTAAAAAGGGGCTAGTTCAACTGATAACCATAGCCCTCATTCACAGGCCCATTACAGTAAACATACACTGAGTATACCAAATATTAGGAACACCTGGCACCTACTACCATACCCCGTTCAAAGGCACTTAAATCTTTTGTCTTGCCCATTCACCTTCTGAATGGCACACATACACAATCCATGTCTCAAGGCTTAAAAATCCTTCTTTAACCTGTCTCCTCCCCTTCATCTACACTAATTGAAGTGGAAAAACATTATGAACACCTGCTCTTTCCATGACAGACTGACCTGGTGAATCGAGGTGAAAGCTATGATCCCTTATTGATGTCACTTGTTAAATCCACTAAGGGCAAAAGGGGGTGCAACTCAATATTAGGAAGGTGTTCCTAATGTTTTGTACACTCAGTGTAAGCGATTGACTGTTTTATCAGTGATTCTTTTGAGTAGAGTGCACTGTAGTGAGGTTAATAATGTGAATGGTCTGATAGCAGCAGGCTGTGAAGTCAACCTCTCTCTCTCTCTCTCTCTCTCTCCCCCTCTCTCTCTCTCTCTCTCTCCTCCCCCCCCCCTCTCCCTCCCCCCTCTCACCAGCAGTATGCTCTCCCAGGACATCCATCGTATGGGCAGCACGGCCCGACCCTGGATGCGGTAGTAGTCTCCACTGTACAGGTTCCGGCTCATGCCAAAGTCAGCGATCTTGATGGTGTAATTCTTCCCCACTAGACAGTTCCTCGTGGCCAGGTCTCTGTGGACAAAGTTAAGCGAGGAGAGGTACCGCATCCCTGAGGCGATCTGAGTGGCCATGTAGCGCAGGTTACTGTAGCTGGAGCAGAGGAGAGACAGAGAGAGATAGAGAGAGAGAGAGATAAAGAGAGAAAGGAGATGATTGTGGACTACAGGAAAAAGAAGAGGACCGAGCACGCCCCCATTCTCATCGACTGGTCTGTAGTGGAGCAGGTTGAGAGCTTCAAGTTCCTTGGTGTCCACATCACCAACAAACTAACATGGTCCAAGCACAAGACAGTCGTGAAGAGGGCACGACAAAACCTATTCTCCCTAAGGAGACTGAAAAGATTCGAGCATGGGTCCTCAGATTCTAAAAAGGTTCTACAACTGCAACATCGAGAGCATCCTGACTGGTTGCATCACTGCCTGGTATGGCAACTGCTTGGCCTCCGACTGCAAGGCACTACAGAGGGTAATGCGTACGGCCCAGTACATCACTTGGGCCAAGCTTCCTGCCATCCAGGACCTCTATACCAGGCGGTGTCAGAGGAAGGCCCTAAAAATTGTCAAAGACTCCAGCCTCCCTAGTTATAGACTGTTCTCTCTGCTACCGCACAGCAAGCGGTACCGGAGCACCAAGTCTAGGTCCAAGAGGCTTCTAAACAGCTTCTACCCCCAAGCCATAAGACATCTAATCAAATGGCTACTTTTATTTTATTTTTATTTTTTTGTATTCTTTCTTAAAACTGCATTTTTGGTTAAGGGCTTGTAAGTAAGCATTCCCCTGTAGCTCAGTTGGTAGAGCATGGCACTTGCAACGCCAGGGTTGTGGGTTCGTTTCCCACGGGGGGCCAGTATGAAAATGTATGCACTCACTAACTGTAAATCGCTCTGGATAAGAGTGTCTGCTAAATGACTAAAATGTAAAATGTAAATGTGACAAATACAATTTGATTGATCTGATTTGAGAGAGAGAGAGAGAGAATCAGCACCGGGAGAGGTGAAGAAATATATAGGAATACACACACAACCCCTCCCCCAGCCTCCATCCCCTTATCCTTACCTGACAGTGGTTGCGTTGCTGATGAGCGCTATCTGTCCCTCAGGTTCATGGCGGGACAGGAACTGGTTGAGGTCACCGTTCTCCATGTACTCTGTGATCATGCAGAGGGGGTCGCTGCAGATACACACGGCCAGCAGACGGATGATGTTGGGGTCCTTCAGACGAGACATGATCTTAATCTCCTTCAGGAAGTCATTCCTGATTATAAACACAGAGGTGGTCAGCGGTTAGAGGTCAGAGAGGAGACTGTGTGAGAGCTTTGATTTATATATTTATCCCAAAAAAAAGCACATTCAAAATGTGCTGGAAGAATCACTCAAAACATGTCTATGTGGACAATACATTTGGGAGAAGCATATGCTGACAATCACTGTATTCTCTAATCAGGAGTGTGTCTCCCCTCACCTGGCATTTTTGTTAGCATCTGCTCTGAGCATCTTAACAGCAACCAGTACTGGCTGGTTGTCACTGATGTTGAAGGAGAAATCCTCATCTATAAACTCCTGCATGCCCTCTGCCTCACACAGGTGGACCTGTAGGGAGACGGAACATGGAGACTCTGATCAACACACTACATCTAGTGATAACTAATGATGGTTCTAAAGAGCCTGGAGACTCTGATCAACACACTACATCTAGTGGTAACTAACGATGGTTCTAAAGAGCCTGGAGACTCTGATCAACACACTACATCTAGTGATAACTAACAATGGTTCTAACGATGGTTCTAAAGAGCCTGGAGACTCTGATCATCACACTACATCTAGTGATAACTAACAATGGTTCTAAAGAGCCTGGAGACTCTGATCAACACACTATATCTAGTGGTCACTAACAATGGTTCTAACGATGGTTCTAACGATGGTTCTAAAGAGCCACAAAGGTTGTGCAAGCTATTTCTCCAGCCTAAATCACCAGATTAATCTAATTAATGACCCTGATCAATTTTCTTAATCTTAGAAGTGCATAAGAAATTTGTTTAATTAATGTAAATCAAACAAGGAATTGATTAATATGTAATGTCCAGAGAGCACAAACCTCTCCAAACTGTCCCTCGCCCAGCTTCTCTTTGAAGGTGAGCAGTTTCCTGGGGAACTCTTCCACTGCCACGTCTTTCCCTGACAGCAGGTCCATGGTTAGAGCAGGGACCGCGTATGTGTTGCCCCCTGTTACGCCCTGCAGGTTGACGATGTCTGCCTCGGCGTAGTGAGGGACTCCGTCCTGGGCAACTGTTGCAGTGGGAGCCTTGGAGGCTGTCACTGCTGTGCTGGTCAAAGCTGATACCAGAGTGGGTGAAGGTAGATTCAGCAATATAACATCATCATACACAATGGGGTGACTTCATGCTTACAGAATGAGCAGACATGATAATTTGTCAACCTCCTTAACTCAACTCTCTCATGTCTTTTCTGGCCATTTAAACTCTGCTTTGTGTGTCCAGTCTACTCACCGGCCTCCTCAGAGGTGTGGGAGAACTCAGGCAGCATGCGTATGAGTCGTGAGGGCTCCTGGTAGTCAGGGCCCAGGGGGAAGATACGCTCGTAGGTGGAGCTAGACTCCTGCTCGCTGGGTGCTGACGATGATGTTGGGTTGTTGTGGCTGAAGGCGAACGTCTCGCTCTGTAGTGACAAACTAGCAGTTAGTTCATCGTCCAGCATCCGCCGCGAGGCCTAGAATAAAGGATGCTGGGGTAAAGAGACATCTGACCAGCCCTGATGGATCAACACATGGTAGGATTTATTCACTCAACTTTTAATCATATTTTACGTTTCTGGATAGTAACTAACAGTCACAAACTAACATTCACATTCAGAGACATGGTGCTTTTTGACTCAGGCAAAACTCATTTGTGTGTATGTGTGACCAGGTGGGATCTCTCACCTTCTCCAGCATCTTCTGCCAGACCTGCCTCCAGAGGATGATGACGATGATGGCGACAAGGATAAGAATGATGGCCACCAGGCATACAATCAGAATTCTGGTGTTGCTGTCGTCTATTTTGTGGGTGGGGTCATCCCCTGGGAAGGGGATAGAGGAAGACATCATTTGATTGGATGACATAATTAAAGCAGGAAATGCTTTGCACAAAAGGCATTGCTCACGGTTGGGAGTGTGTGTTAAAAAAGGTAAAAATTGTTACAGCTTGTGTTTGTGCGATGCATGTGTAGGCGGCACTGACCTGGTTGAGTGCTGGTGGGGGGGCCGCTGCCAGTCTTGGGGGGAGCCAGGGTAGTGTTGTACATGGCTGTGTCTGGAAGAGCAGAGACAGACGTTAATAACAACAAAGAACGGATAATACTTTACAGATTAATATTGAAAGGGGTGTTCTCTATACATTAGAGGTGATCTGAGGTGTGTGTACCGGTACACATGTTTACCTGACTGGAAGGTGATTTCGCTAAACATCATCCAGGCATCAGCGAAGTAGAACTGGCACTTGATTGCGCTGGCCATATGATTGGCCAGAGAGATGGTGATAAATCGGGCGCTGGGATTGACGTCGTCCACCACGGGACTGAAGGAAAGGGGCGTGGCCTCCCAGTCAGCCTCAGAACGGAAGTAACACACAACCTGGCGGAACGCCTTGATATGATTCATGAACATGTTGTTACAGTGCACCTAGAAACAGAAAGAGAGAGACATAGAGAGAGAGAGACAGAAAGAGAGATGGGAGAGCAAGAAGGGTGTATGTTGTTACAGTGAAACAGGTTATTACAGTAAACCTGCAAGAAAAATGTGTTCTGGTGATGGAAATAGGGTCAAGAAGCTGAAAGATTTAGTAATGCAATGCCTGTTATTTGGGAGGTGGTGAACACTCGAAATACCAGCTGGAGTAACAAGTAAGAGGTTGTCTGCCTCCCCCCAATCCTCTCACACACACCTTCATGGTGGTGAAGTTGCGTGTGCGGTCAAACTCGAACATGATCTCCACGTATCCGTTGGGAAAGCTCTCATTGGTCCATCCCACGTAGTCGTAACCAGGCCACACATTGTAGACGTGGCTATGAGTGAAGTCATCTAATCCACACATTCCATCAGTCAGCTGGCCTAGCCCTTCCGTCATACTGGGGATGGAGAAGGAAGAGGGGAGAGGAGATGAATACAGAGCTCAGTGTTGGTAGTCAAAATACAAAGTAAAAATGTCTAGAAAACGTTGTTTTCGGGGTGAACCAGAGAGTCTCTGGCTGAACTATCCCTTTAAGGAGACCTGGCGACATGTAAACGACTACTTGACAACCTTGCTTGGCACACAATAATAACTAGATTCATGTTTAATTACAAATATTTATTTTACAATGCAAAATATGTATTTTGTGAGGGGGAAGGTTGAGAGACAAACTATTTCACTATGTGTTTGTTCAACTTCCCTCCACCCACCACTAGGTGGTAGCATCATATTATCCACCACCCTCAATATCTCATCTTGAGTATGGTATCAAAACCTTAGCCATTTTCTCTTCTTGGACTACTTTAACAGACTCAAACTCAGAGAGTGAGAGGAGAGAGAAAGAGAGAGAGAGGGAGAGAGAGAGACTTACTGACTACTATAGCAGAGACAAACTGATGGCAGCGTCATGGAGGATATTGTTCAGCACACAGTAACTCAAACACTAACACAGAAAGGAAGGATAACCACATAGTCATTTATGCTCCCAAGTAGTCAGGTTTTAGTCCAAAGACACTTACTCAAACTCTCCCACGCATTCATGCACCAGAAGCCATGTGTGGGTGTAATTGTTTGTGTGTGTGTGTGTGTTCCTAAAACTCCATTGCATAACTGCACAGAGAAGTGTGATGTGTGTGTGTGTGTGTGTGTGTGTGGCATAACCACAGTGACCCATGAAACTGTCTACATCATGCCGGAACTATGGCAACCAGGCAACAACAGGGCCAGTGTGGAACCAAGGCTCAGAGGTTTGTGAAGGAAAGACGAAAGGAGGAGAGAAAGGACAGAGAATGAGGTCGGATAAACCGAGAGAGGAGGGATACATTGAGAGGCAGAATGAGAAGGAGAAAAAATAAGGACAAGGAGATGAAGGAAAAGAGAAAAGAGGAGGAGCAAGATGACGAGGGAGGATGAGAGGGAAAAGGAGGTATGCACACCCACCTGTAGATGACAGCTCCATCGTACACTGAGTCGTTGAGGTGAACAGGCTGGCCCTCCAGACTCATCTGTTCTCCTGCTGGGGCGTTGTAGGACACCAGACCATCTGACATAGAGAGAGAGAGAGAGAGAGAGAGAGAGAGAGAGAGAGAGAGAGAGAGACTGCATTAGCCCACTGAGCTAAAGCCTAGGCACTGAGTTGGCCCAACTCTGTCTACCTATGGCTCAGAGTAGGGAGCTCCTCCTCCTATCCCTCTCTCCTCTCCTCCCTCTGTCTGTCTTACCGAGCCACTCACAGCCGTAGAGCTCTACCCTCATGCAGACGTTCATGGAGTGGTCTGAGACGGGCATGAACCTCACGAAGCGGGCGATGATCGGAGGCTCCAGGTCCTTCAGCATGATGTCATACGCATTCCTGTTTCCCTCTATCACCTACAGCCATGCCACACACAGATATTAATCAATCAATTATCCTAATTAATAAGCAATAAATCACACATTCCAGTTCCCCTTAACCACCGAGAGTGACGTCACAAATCACCAATATTACCATTATCAATATATTATTATTACCGTTTTTATATTCCTGTCCTCCTTGTCAATCAATCATCATGATCAATAACTGATTGATTACCTGTTTGCCTTGCCTGTTCCTCCAGGAAATCCAGCGGCTGCCGTCACGGCTATATTTAATCTTGTACATCTGGGCGAACTCGTTGCCGATGCCCCCTGCGTGGCGGCCCTGGGTGCCAACCAGGGTGATGAAGTGGAGGGAACGCAGGTCTATCTGGAGGAACTCCTTAAGACTGTCTGGTTCAACCGTTATCTCTGGACACCACGCACCATCACCCTCCTCAAAGTCCAACCTGAGGGTGGGAGAGAAAGGAGGGGGTGGAGAGGGTGGGAGAGAGAGGAGGGGGTGGGAGAGAGAGGGAAGGAGAGGGAGAGAACAGGAATAAAAAAGGAGAGTAGAGAGAAAGGGAGGCAGGAGAACACAGAGAGAAAGGGATGGAGGGAACAGAGAGAGAGATGGAGAGGAAGGGATGGAGGGAACAGAGAGAGAGATGGAGAGGAAGGGATGGAGGGAACAGAGAGAGAGATGGAGAGGAAGGGATGGAGTGTGAGAGAGGGAAGAGAAAAGGGAGACAGAGAGGTCAGTGGATAGTGAGTGTGGTGGGTGGATGTCAGTTCATACAGCCTATTAAACAAACACCTTTGTCGTAAATTAATGTGACAATGTTCATGTAGGGTTGAGCTGGCAGGGGAGAGGGGAGGCTAGGCCAGAATAAAACTATGCTGTCCAGACCAGAACCTAGATTACATCATTATCCTCAAACTGAGAGCAGCCCTCCCACACTCTCCAACAAACACACATATGCACACGCACACACATGCACAATCACTCTCTCTTTCCAGGCTTAACCACATGTTTTCTACACACAGAGAGCGGGAACTGATGCCCAGTTAAGTGAAAACACACATACAGTCTTGAAAACGTTTGTTTGTGAGTGTATATGAATGTGCATGAGTGTTTGTGTGTGTAGTTGTGGGGGCGCCTGCATGTGTCCAGTCCACTGAATCGAAATTGAGATGTATTTATGTATGTATATGTATGTGTGTGTGTCATTGGCGGTCGGTGCCGTTTAAGATGAGGGAGGATGATTATTGTTATTATGAGCATGGCCTTATTTCTATTACAGCATATTGGATGACTGTAATTCATATTCCATTCACCCAGCTCAATGTAACATCGATAGGTTTAGGCTACATGATACTCAAATTTTCCCTGTACCCATCATGACGTTGCTACAACCTAGCCTATGAATTAAAGTTCACAATGTAGCTAGGTGCACAGGTAGAGAGTAATCAAGGTGACAGACAGTGACACATTCAATACCGCCTTGCACACTCTTGCCTGCATCTAGCCGATCTAGGGAGTAATCATTAGTCCAACAGTTGCAAATGTGAATTTCTATTGGACAAATTCAGGTATTTTTTTATTCCCTTTTCGTTCCGTTAGCTTCCGTTTAAGAAATGTTTTTCAACAGAATCGGCGGAATGAATACACCCCTGATCACATGCAAACACAGTTCACTTTCATAGCAGCCACATAAAAACAGCATGATCACTTTGCTTGTTGTATATATAATTCCCGCTCACAACCATCTACGCGCTCTCCTCCTCTCACCTTTTCCCTTCGCTTGTGGACTTCAGTACACAACACATCAGCTTTCTGTAACCAGGTGAAAATGCCTTTCCAAGCCAAACCTTCATATCATGACCGCTATAACCACTACACAATCCTACATCATTGCCACATCATAGTAAACATAGCTACTAGAACTAACGCATTAGTAAACCCGCTACAATCATTCAGTACAGTGTACTGTCAGAAAGCAGTTTAGCAGTTACACCGGCGGGCCGTGGTAAAAAATTAATAAAACCAAAAGCTTACCTTGACTTGGAAGAGTTCCAGTGTTAGATAGCCATAGCCAGCTAGCTAACATAGCATTCCTCTTTTTGAGCTGGGTGTTTGAGTAGGCTAAACTAGCTAGCTGCATTTGCTAGCTAAGTTAAAGGGAAAGTTAAAAAAATACAACCAAATATAGCTAGCACTCTCTCTCTCTTGCTTCTCCTTAATTTGTTCAAAACTGTTCAACTATTGTCTTTCTCTCTCTTTGAGTCAACTCCTCACCACATTTTATGCACTGCAGTGCTAGCTAGTTTTAGCTTATGCTTTTAGTAATAGATTCATTCTCTGATCCTTTGGGTGGACAGCATGTCAGTTCATGCTACAAGAGCTCTGATAGGTTGGAGGACGTCCTCTGGACATTGTCATAATTACTGTGTAAGTCTATGGAAGGGGGTGAGAACCATGAGCCTCCTAGGTTTTATATTGAGGTCTATGTACCCAGAGGAGGACAGAAGCTAGCTGTCCTCTGGCTACACCATGGTGCTACCCTACAGAGTGCTGCTGAGGTTACTGTAGACCTTCATTGCAAAACAGTGTGTTTTAATAAATTATTTTGTGAGGTGAATATATTTTGTATAGTTTTATCCAGAAAGGATAACTTTTTTAATGTTTCACTATTTTTATGAAATTCACTGAGGATGGTCCTCCCCTTCCTCCTCTGAGGAGCCTCCACTGTGTGTGTGTACCTATTTGTAAGTCGCTCTGGATAAGAGCGTCTGCTAAATGACGTAAATGTAATGTAAATGTGTGTGTGTGTGTGTATACAGTACCTGCCGTATCTAGCAGCTGTAGACTCAGACCACTGACTGGAGGCTGAGATGTCTTCATCCTGAATCTGTCCTCCGGACATCCCCAGAGGGTACCGACACACACCTACAACACAACAGATTTTAGTACAAGCACGCACACGCAAGCGCGCGCACACACACACACACACACACACACACACACACACACACACACACACACGTATATGCAAAGCATATAGGCCAGGGATCATCAACTAAATTAGATTCAGCCGCGGGACTATTTTCTTTTGAGCGGATGGTCGGGGGGCCGGAATATATTTACAAATAATTTGTAGACTGCAAATTGACCTCAAGAACCCCAAACAGATATAATATTTGACTAAAACATAATAATTTAAAACATTGCTTACATTTGTACTTGATTGTATTTTTAATTTTGCTCAGAAAACTTGGGGAGCCAAATAAAACACCCCACGGGCCAAATTCAACCCGCGGGCCGCCAGTTGGGGAATCCCGATATAGGCATTAGTTCAAGAAATCTTTAGGTGTCAGGCAAGGTTACTCTTCACGCGAGCATGGTTCACTGGACCACCTCTGCTACATCAAGGTGTGTGGTGGTAACTCTTACTGGTGGGAGTTCTGAGCTCTCAGACATAAACACACAGTCTGTATTGACCTGGATTATCTGTCTAATCACAGACATACACTCGCCTACTACTTTCTTCTACAATCAAACTAATCCCCCCTTCTGTCTAGCCACCACAATCTGAAATCCTGCAGGTTGCAGAGGAGATGGGAGGATTGAGGGAGAAGAGAGAAGTGGAAAGGGAAGTGGAGAGGGTAGGGGAGAAGAGAGAAGTGGAAAGGGAAGTGGAGAGGGTAGGGGAGAAGAGAGAAGTGGAAAGGGAAGTGGAGAGGGTAGGGGAGAAGAGAGAAGTGGAACGGGAAGTGGAGAGGGTAGGGGAGAAGAGAGAAGTGGAACGGGAAGTGAAGAGGGTAGGGGAGAAGAGAGGAGAGAAGATGAGGGGAGAGAGAGAGACAGAGAGATGAGGTGCCCATCACAGTGGGGTTAGCTGGTGGGTGTTTAGTCAGGGTCAGGTCAGAGTGTGCACAAACACACACACCCTCTCCCCAGCACTCAGAGAGTGGTTGCTTTATTGAAATAAAGAGCAGGGATTGTTCAACCTCTCTGCCAGTGCAAATATAAGGGGTAGCATGTAGTGCGTGTCTTTGTGTGTGAGTGCTAAAAAATATCTTCCTGTTCCTGTGTGATCTAGGCCTTTCCCCTGTAGCAGTGAGGAGTGATCAACGTTAACAGTGGGCGTTTCAACATTTAATTGCGTTTCAGTGTAATCTGGTGGGCTAACTACTCATGACATACACTGAGTATACCAAACATTAGGACCACCTTTGTCACAAGTGTAGAGAGGAGTAGGCAGGAGGCAGTTGCAGGTTTAGAACTACTGAATTTAATAAAGCACCATAGCTTAAAGCAGGACGAAACCCACAGTGCAAAATATAAAGTACTCAGGAAGTAGTAGGAGAGATTCCTCTCAGGAAAACAAGCAACATATACAATGACCAACAAAGACAAATGACAGAGGGAGTATGTATACAGTCGTGGTCAAACGTTTTGAGAATGACACAAGTATTGGTCTTCACAAAGTTCGCTGCTTCAGTGTTATGATATATTTTTGTCAGATGTTACTATGGTATACTGAAGTATAATTACAAGCATTCCATAAGTGTCAAAGGCTTTTATTGACAATTACATTAAGTTTATGCAAAGAGTCAATATTTGCAGTGTTGACCCTTCTTTTTCAAGACCTCTGCAATCCGCCCTGGCATGCTGTCAATTAACCTCTGGGCCACATCCTGACTGATGGCAGCCCATTCTTGCATAATCAATGTTTGGACTTTGTCAGAATTTGTGGGTTTTTGTTTGTCCACCCGCCTCTTGAGGATCGACCACAAGTTCTCAATGGGATTAAGGTCTGGGGAGTTTCCTTGAGAGAAGTGGCTTCTTTGCTGCCCTTCTTGACACCAGGCCATCCTCCAAAAGTCTTCGCCTCACTGTGCGTGCAGATGCATTCGCAAGCTCTGCACTGGTGGTGCCCCGATCCTGCAGCTGAATCAACTTTAGGAGACAGTCCTGGCGCTTGCTGGACTTTCTTGGGCGCCCTGACGTCTTCTTCACAACAATTGAACCTCTCTCCTTGATGTTCTTGATGATCCGATAAATGGTTGATTTAGGTGCAATCTTACTAGTAGCAATATCCTTGCCTGTGAAGCCCTTTATGTGCAAAGCAATGATGACGGCACATGTTTCCTTGCAGGTAACCATGGTTAACAGAGGAAGCACAATGATTTCAAGCACCACCCTCCTTTTAAAGCTTCCAGTCTGTTATTCTAACTCAATCAGCATGACAGAGTGATCTCCAGCCTTGTCCTCGTCAACACTCTCACCTGTGTTAACGAGAGAATCACCGACATGATGGCAGCTGGTCCTTTTGTTGCAGGGCTGAAATGCAGTGGAAATGTTTTTTGGGATTAAGTTCATTTTCTTGGCAAAGAGGGACTTTGCAATTAATTGCAATTCATCTGATCACTCTTCATGACATTCTGGAGTATATGCAAATTGTCATCATCAAAACTAAGGCAGCAGACTTTGTGAAAATTAGTATTTTTTTGATGCTTGTTGGGATGCTGGCCCATTTTGACTCCAATGCTTCCAACAGTTGGGTCAAGTTGGCTGGATGTCCTTTGGGTGGTGGACCATTCTTGATACACACGGGAAACTGTTGAGCGTGAAAAACCCAGCAGAATTGCAGTTATCGACACAAACCGGTGTGCCTGGCACCTACTACCATACCCCGTTCAAAGGCACTTACATTTTTTGTCTTGCCCATTCACCCTCTGAATGGCACACATACACAGTCCATGTCTCAATTGTCTCAAGGTTTAAAAATAGTTATTTAACCTGTCTCCTTCCCTTCATATACACTGATTGAAGTGGATTTAACAAGTGACATCAATAAGGGATCATAGCTTTCACCTGGATTCACCTGGTCAGTCTATATCACGGAAAGAGCAGGTGTTCTTAATGTTTTGTATACTCAGTGTAGACGTATCTATTCATTTTTACAAGCCTGAAATATCATTTTCTTACTTTTGTTGCTGTTTCTAGGAGTAAAAATATTAGGTGATTTTCCATCAATATTTTCCCAGCAGGGCTGGGTGTATATGGGATATTTATTGAGGTTTATGGTTTATAATCACTGCTTCAACTGTCTTCTCTACTCAGTAGAAAACTAATGTTAACGATTAACTTGAATACAACCCAACCAATGTCTTAGCTGATTATGCTGAACACTTAAGCAAACTTTATGGGTGTACAGTGTGTGTGCACAGGGTTAGACTGGTCAGTAGGAGAGGCAGAGGAAGTTCAAGGGGACACTTGGAGAGAGAGACAGAGAGAGATAGAGAGAGATAGAGTGATAGAGATAGTGTTTATGTGTATACTGTAGTGTACAGTATGATGGCTGGTCACATGAGGTGCAGGCCAGGGGGACTCTCCCTTCAGCATGGCTCCTCAGCTCAGCTCTGTCTGAGACACAGGAAAGTATTTGTGAAACTGCCAGAAACAGCACACAGAACACACAGCGCTCAAGGCCCTTTCTGTCCTCCCTCACTTTTTATCCTTTCTTTCTGTCCTCCCTCTTACTTCCAAATGTTTGCTTAAAAGTCAAGATGGGGAAACCTTGAGTTCGTCCTGGCAGTGACAGTGAGATTCAATCCAGAAAGAGATAGGTCCCAAAACAAAGAACTCTTCCTGTTGTGAGACTGCCTTCTCCTCTGCACATCCCCCATCCTCCCTCCCATCCTCCCCTTCGCGTTTCTTTATCTTCCCCTGTCCTCCCCATCTCCCCCCTCCCTCATGCCCCAACAGACGGAAGCCATAATCATCACACACTTCTCATATTTCCAGTCTATTAGTGGTAACCTTGGTAATATAATTGCAATCAAATGTTATAACATCTGCAATTCCTCCAATAATAATGTCCGTTTTGATTAATGTGTTGTATTTGGAAACATTTAATTGGCTCTCCAGGCAGCTCAGATACTCCACAAGCCAAGGTTTCCCAAACTTGGTCCTGCAGTTTACTCAACTCTGGTAAAATAATAACGTTTCAAATGAAATCAATGACTATTTTTCACAGATCTGTGCTCTTTTGCGTGATGAAAATGTTTCCCTAATGAGTGGTGGAGGTTGGGCTAGTTGACCATGATATTTCACCACTGGTCTGTGAGTGAACGAGGGGAAACATGAGTCCATTCACATACAGGTGTCCACTGCAAACAGAGGCAGGGAGAAAGAGAACCAGAGAGAGAAAGTGTCACGTCTCCTCCCGTTGCTCCCCTCCGGCGCTCTGATTCGCCGGTCTACTGAGCCACCGGTCTGAGCGCACCACCTCGGCAACACCGGAATGGAAACCCAACGCACCCTAATCACCTCCAGCGCACCTGCACCTCATCATCTCATCATCTCATCACCACCCCTATATAGCCCTGGACGGTTCAGTGTTGTGTTGTGTGTAACTGTTAGTATCATGTTGTGTACTCGCTCTTTGTGGCTCTCTTGCTCAGTGTTAAGTAAACCTTTACATTGTTGATTCCTGCGTCTGCGTCCTGCCTCTTTGTATCCTCAGTAGTCGTCACAGAAAGAGAGAGAAGTAGGGGGAGACGAGGCCTGAATTTGCATGCATTGACAGAGCAACAGTTTATTGATTTCAGACTAGAGTAACTGAAAAATCACAACATTATATACGTGTCTTGTTACTTAATATTGCGTGAATGAAGCTCATTATGTTATTGTCAAAGCAGTACACAAATAGAACAGAATGAAACTCTGAAGAACAACATTATTTGGATATTCACTTGGTAAAAAAAAGAAAAGTGATCCATAATAATGTAATGTTCCATCAACTACAGCCAGACAGATCCAAATGGCTCAGCCCACAGACAATAGAGGAGAAGGCAGAGAAAGTGTTTGAAATTGCCTGGGATGTAGTTGGTGAAAACAAGAGTAATTACCAGTGGCTCAGTCAGACCCCATCCTAAACTAAAGCATGGAACAGAGAGAAGAAAGAGAGAGTGAGCTAGACGAACCCTCTAACATCACCATTGGCTAATACACTCTTACAGGTCACATGCACACACACCGATCCAGCTCCAAGTGGCTTTTTTCCCTCTCTCACCACTTATTTTTTTCTATGTGTCCTGGCCAGTGAAAGGCAGGCTTGTTCCATAGTGTTTGCTGTCTAACCACAGGCTCCGCACGCACGCACGCACGCACGCACGCGCACGCACACACGCACACACACACCTTGGTCATCAATTCTGATATTTTAGTTAATATTGTTTGTGACCATCTAGAGTAAACTCTCATAGCCTTTCTATTGTATTACTATGAAAGCAATATCGCAGTGGCTCAAGTCAGCCTAAAACCACTGGACGACCTGACCTTGGTGGGAGTTGATGATATATTGTGTGTGAGTGTTGTGCATGAAGAGGATCCAGCTATCCCACTGGAGTCTGTGGTTAATGCATTCCAGACATTCTGACAGCAGGAATGTACATTGAAAGGGGCTTGCCATGTGTATTTGCTGGGATTGTTGTTGACCACTAAGAAGTGGTGGAGTGCAGAGTACTAATGGATCTGAACATGGCCAAAGTTAATTTAAATTCATGCAACAAAATGTTCTAAATCTAAAATATGCCCCATTGTGGGACAATCATTTTGAAGGCAAGTGAGGGAGAAGTCATAATTATTTCCAGATTTCAAATCCTGTAGACTAGAAAAATACTTCTTAAACGCAAGAGAATGGATGAGGGAGTTGTGTGTCTGTCCAATAAGCTATATCTTTATGTCCCTTGTCACTCAACAGTTTTGCTATGAGTCTTGTTGACTCCATCACAGGTCTTACTGTGTCTAACTATCATTCTGCTGAATGGATGAATAATAAAAAATATCAGAACGCAGGAAATATGCATGGCTGCATTTAGTAGCACTGAGAGGCATGGTGATGCCAACTTTCCCCTTTTTAAAATCACAGAACAGTGCAGTTATACCATCTCTGTCTTTCCTATTTCCACTCTGGGTGGGCGACAAGCTTTTCGCTGTAGACTGGGAGCCATAGAGACTCTGGAATAAGGCTTTAGTAGAGATAGATGGAGGAGAAATTGAGAGGGTCTATAAGGCTGGAGTAGAGATGGAGCAAGAGAGAGAAACTGAATAAGGCTGGACTATAAATCGAGTAATAGAGATAGGTGAAAGCTGTATACTGTCAAGAGGATCCACTCTGCTGTATATCTGGTAAACCAGGTCAGAGACTTCTATCAACAGAGATGACGAGATGTAGAGAGGCCTGAAAACAACCACAGCACCCACCACTGCTCTGTCCCTTTGGAGAGAACACCCTTTTCTTAAAACCTACTCTCTCTCTCAGCCTGCCAATATAGCAACATGCTAGTCTTAAAGATCAGCCACACTGTAGGCTGTAAAATACACACATGAATTGAGAGAAGGGTGTGTCAAGTGTGTGTGTGTGTGTGTGACTCCACTGTTAAATACGTTAAAGTTTTTATCTATGATCATGAAAGTCCATTAAAACTAATTGTCATTTCTCTGCACCAACCCACAGAAAAAGACAAGTTTACAGCATATGAAACATAGCCTTTGTTTACTTTGAGGCGCCCTAGACGAGTTAGGGAAAACATTTCTGGTGTGTTTGTAGTTTGCCTTGAGCAGGATGTAATTAAACAGCAATGTTAATGTGGAGGACTGACTGTACAATTATCTTCATCTCGCTCAGAGTATAGACTGCCACGCCACAGCTGTAAAAGAACTCCAAGCACACACGCATGCACACACACGCACACTCTCCTAGGCCTATTGCTTGGCCCTGTGCCCTGCTCTTGTATGGTGTTAGTGCTTTGTCTCTGCTCACCAAATGTTGCCACTGGGTTTCCTAGTAAAATATAATTGGTAGTCTCATTGACATCACACTTTCCCTCAGTGAACCACCCATAGAGTGGGAACAGAACAGTGGAGAGACCCATGGACAACAGAACAGTGGAGAGACCCATGGATAACAGAACAGTGGAGAGACCCATGGACAACAGAACAGTGGAGAGACCCATGGACAACAGAATAGTGGAGACACTCATGGACAACAGAACAGTGGAGAGACCCATGGACAACAGAACAGTGGAGAGACCCATGGACAACAGAATAGTGGAGACACTCATGGACAACAGAATAGTGGAGAGACCCATAGACAACAGAACAGTGGAGAGACCCATGGACAACAGAACAGTGAAGAGACCCATGGACAACAGAACAGTGGAGAGACCAATGGACAACAGAATAGTGGAGACACTCATGGACAACAGAATAGTGGAGAGACCCATGGACAACAGAACAGTCCCACTCACATCAAAGAGACAGCAGTAGCAGTTAAGGCCACCAAATGGAAACGTACACACAAGCATGCATGCACACAAACATACATACTGTTGAAGTCGGAAGTTTCCATACACCTTAGCCAAATACATTTAAACTCAGTTTTTCACAATTGCTGACATTTAATCCCAGTAAAAAATTCCCTGTTTTAGGTCAGTTAGGATCAACTCTTTTTTTTAAGAATGTGAAATGTCAGAATAATAGTAGAGAGAATGATTTATTTCAGCTTTTATTTATTTCATCACATTCCCAGTGGGTCAGCAGTTTACATACACTCAATTAGTATTTGGTAGCATTGCCTTTAAATTGTTTAACTTGGGTCAAACGTTTTGGGTAGCCTTCCACAAGCTTCCCACAATAAGTTGGGTGAATTTTGGCCCATTCCTCTTGACAGAGCTGTTGTAACTGAGTCAGGTTTGTAGGCCTCCTTGCTCGCACACGCTTTTTCAGTTCTGCCCACACATTTTCTATAGGATTGAGGTCAGGGCTTTGTTGTCCTTAAGCCATTTTGCCACAACTTTGGAAGTATGCTTGGGGTCATTGTCCATTTGGAAGATCCATTTGTGACCAAGCTTTAACTTCCTGACTGATGTCTTGAGATGTTGCTTCAATATATCCACATAATATTCCTTCCTCATGATGCCATCTATTTTGTGAAGTGCACCAGTCCCTCCTGCAGCAAAGCACCCCCACAGCATGATGCTGCCACCCCTGTGCTTCACGGTTGGGATGGTGTTCTTCGGCTTGCAAGCTACTCCCTTTTTCCTCCAAACATAACGATGGTCATTATGGCCGAATAGTTCTATTTTTGTTTCATCAGACCAGAGGACATTTCTCCAAAAAGTATGGTCTTTGTCCCCATGTGCAGTTGCAAACCGTAGTCTGGCTTTTTTATGGCAGTTTTGAAGCAGTGGCTTCTTCCTTGCTGAGCGGCCTTTCAGGTTATGTCGATATAGGACTCGTTTTACTGTGGATATAGATACTTTTGTACCTGTTTCCTCCAGCATCTTCACACGGTCCTTTGCTGTTGTTCTGGGATTGATTTGCACTTTTCGCATCTCTAGGAGACAGAATGCGTCTCCTTCCTGAGCAGTATGACGGCTGCGTGGTCCCATGGTGTTTGTACTATTGTTTGTACAGATGAACGTGGTACCTTCAAGCGTTTGGAAATTGCTCGCAAGGATGAACCAGACTTGTGGAGGTCTACAATTCTTTTTCTGAGGTCTTGGCTGATTTCTTTTGATTTTCCCATGATGTCAAGCAAAGAGGCACTGAGTTTGAAGGTAGGCCTTGAAATACATCCACAGGTACACCTCCAATTGACTCAAATGATGTCAATTTGCCTATCAGAAGCTTCTAAAGCCATGACATCATTTTCTGGAATTTTCCAAGCTGTTTAAAGGCACAGTCAACTTAGTGTATGTAAACTTCTGACGCACTGTACAGTCGTGGTCAAAGGTTTTGAGAATGACACAAGTATTGGTCTTCACAAAGTTCGCTGCTTCAGTGTTATGAGATATTTTTGTCAGATGTTATTATGGTATACTGAAGTATAATTACAAGCATTCCATAAGTGTCAAAGGCTTTTATTGACAAATACATTAAGATTATGCAAAGAGTCAATATTTGCAGTATTGACCCTTCTTTTTCAAGACATCTGCTGCAATCCGCCCTGGCATGCTGTCAATTAACTTCTGGGCCACATCCTGACTGATGGCAGCCCATTCTTGCATAATCAATGCTTGGAGTTTGTCCGAATTTGTGGGTTTTTGTTTGTCCACCCGCCTCTTGAGGATTGACCACAAGTTCTCAATGGGATTAAGGTCTGGGGAGTTTCCTGGCCATGGACCCAAAATGTCGATGTTTTGTTCCCCGAGCCACTTAGTTATCACTTTTGCCTTATGGCAAGGTGCTCCATAATGCTGGAAAAGGCATTGGTCGTCCCCAAACTGTTCTTGGATGTTTGGGAGAAGTTGCTCTCGGAGGACGTGTTGGTACCATTGTTTATTCATTATTCCTGTGTTCTTAGGCAAAATTGTGAGTGAGCCCACTCCCTTGGCTGAGAAGCAACCACACACATGAATGGTCTCAGGATGCTTTACTGTTGGCATGACACAGGACTGATGGTAGCGCTCACCATGTCTTCTCCGGACAAGGTGTTTTCCGGATGCCCCAAACAATCGGAAAGGGGATTCATCAGAGGAAATGACTTTACCCCAGTCCTCAGCAGTCCAATCCCTGTAACTTTTGCAGAATATCAGTCTGTCCCTGATGTTTTTCCTGGAGAGAAGTGGCTTCTTTGCTGCCCTTCTTGACAACAAGCCATCCTCCAAAAGTATTTGCCTCACTGTGCGTGCAGATGCACTCACACCTGCCTGCTGCCATTCCTGAGCAAGCTCTGCACTGGTGGTGCCCCGATCCCGCAGCTGAATCATCTTTAGGAGATGGACCTGGCACTTGCTGGACTTTCTTGGGCGCCCTGACGCCTTCTTCACAACAATTGAACCTCTCTCCTTGAAGTTCTTGATGATCCGATAAATGGTTGATTTAGGTGCAATCTTACTAGCAGCAATATCCTTGCCTGTGAAGCCCTTTTTGTGCAAAGCAATGATGACGGCACGTGTTTCCTTGCAGGTAACCATGGTTAACAGAGGAAGCACAATGATTTCAAGCACCACCCTCCTTTTAAAGCTTCCAGTCTGTTATTCTAACTCAATCAGCATGACAGAGTGATCTCCAGCCTTGTCCTCGTCAACACTCTCACCTGTGTTAACGAGAGAATCACTGACATGATGGCAGCTTGTCCTTTTGTGGCAGGGCTGAAATGCAGTGGAAAAGTTTTTTCAGGATTAAGTTCATTTTCATGGCAAAGAGGGACTTTACAATTAATTTTAATTCATCTGATCATACTTCATGACATTCTGGAGTATATGCAAATTGCCATCATCAAAACTGAGGCAGCAGACTTTGTGAAAATTAGTATTTGTGTCATTCTCAAAACCTTTGACCACGACTGTAATTGTGATACAGTGAATTATAAGTGAAATAATTTGTCTGTAAACAATTGTTGGAAAAATTACTTTTGTCATGCACAAAGTAGATGTCTTAACCAACTTGCCAAAACTATAGTTTGTTAACAAGAAATTTGTGGAGTGGTTGAAAAACAAGTTTTAATGACTCCAACCTAAGTGTGTGTAAACTTCCGACTTCAACTGTACATACACACACACACACACCGTTCCCCACACCGTTCCCATGCCAACACTCACCAGGGTTAACCTGCGAGGTGACGTCTCCTAACAGGTAGAGCAGGATGAGCAGCGGAAAGTGTGTCCCCCACAGGCGCTTCATCCCAAACACACACACACACACACACACTCACACACAGAGGGTCTTCAAACCTGAAATCAATGAGAAAACAACAGTCAGAATATGTCATACAAGTTGAAGTATTTGGACTGTGGTGAAATGAAACAGAAGTTCAAGGGTCCGTGTTTGGATCCATGGGGCATATTCAGGCTGTTTCATGTCTTTCCTCCAGGGAACCAGATCATCTGAGAGGTTCAAGGGAAAGCTGCAGCTTTTACAGGAGGAATGGTTTTCATTTGCTCAATAAAGACAATAATTGCTGTCTGAAAGTGGAATTTCCATTCATTCATTATCTTACCACGAGTGAAGAGTGAAGGCATATTAAAATCAAAATGGCAGGGATAATTCAACATTACAGTAGCCAGCTCTGAGTAATAAAACTGTACATAAAACTGTACCCATACATCTAAAAGTAAATACTTTAACATTCTTTAGTAGTTCTCCGTCCCCTGGCTGTGTGTGTGTGTGTGTTAGAGAGGACTTTTGACAGAAGGAGGTAGGAATAAATGAAGTAAGGCAGCATTTCAGAGAGAGAGAGACAGAGAGAGAGAGACAGAGAGAGAGAGAGCGAGAGACAGAGAGAGAAAGGGAGAGAGAGCGAGAGACAGAGAGAGACAGAGAGAGAGACAGAGAGAGAGCGAGAGAGACAGAGAGAGAGAAAGGGAGAGAGAGCGAGAGACAGAGAGAGACAGAGAGAGAGCGAGAGACAAAGAGAGACAGAGAGAGAGCGAGACAGAGAGAGACAGAGAGAGAGAGCGAGAGACAGAGAGAGACAGAGAGAGAGAAAGAAAGGGAGAGACAGCGAGAGAGAGAGTGAGAGAGGCAGAGAGACAGCGAGATAGACAGTGAGAGAGAGAGAGGGAGAGACAGAGAGACAGCGAGAGAGACAGAGAGAGACAGCGAGAGAGACAGAGAGAGAAAGGGAGAGACAGCGAGAGAGACAGCACACCTCCTCTCTTCAACAGACCCAAACAGCCAATGGTCTAATCTCCTCTTACCTTAGAGGAAATGTTGATGTCCACTCACAGTGATCTTTTAGTGATTTACTCTAGTCTCATGTGGTTGTCTGACCTACCACTAATAATGATCCAGTAAAAGGTGTGGGGGGAGAGAGACGGGGTTGCACATGTAAATGCTTTACTGTCATGTTAACTGATTGTTACATAATCACAAACAGTCTTAAGATGTGGAGTTCTCACTGTGTTAATAGCTTCTTATGTAACGAACACCATGCTGCATTTATTACTGGACCGACTGGAGCAGAATCATTAGTGGTTGTTCTACCTTAGTTTACAAAAAAAGTGTGAACATTTCTCTAGCAAGATTGTAATCTTTGGACAGCACCTATGCAACTACCATGTAAATGCATAGGGTTTTGGAACCTTAGGTAAAGTGGCAGTGTATTTTTGAAGAGAAAGGCAGAGGGGTGAAGAGTGTACTATGGACTGTATAGAGTTAAGCTGGAGAGATCAGAAAGCCAAGGGGAGGTTTCCTGGTCTTCATCCTAGGCCAAAGGGGCACGTGTGTGTGTGGGGAACATTTCTGGCTGTTCATCCATGGCCAAACAACTTTATTTTGGCGGTGCGTGGCTGCGTAGGAGTGGCTGATAGATCAACATGTCAGGGTCAAGCAGCACAGCACTCCTCACAACCACACACACACGCAGGCACACACACGCGCCACACACACGCGCAACACACACATGTGCAACACACACACAGTCTTATGTAACTAACCTTGTGGGGATACTCAATTCCGTCCCATTCAAAATCCTATTTTTCCTAACCCCTAACCCTAAACCTTACCCTAACCTTAACCCCAAAACCTAACCTTAACCCTAAACCTAGCTCCTACCCCTAAAGCTAATTCTAACCCTAATTCTAACCTTAACCCTAAACCCCCTAGAAATAGCATTTGACCTTGTGGGGACCAACAAAATGTCCCCAGTTGGTAAAAAAAAAAAAAAAGGTTTACTATTCTTGTGGGGACTTCTTGTCCCCACAAGTATAGTTAAACACGACCACTCACACACACACCTCCACTAAACCTCTCAGTGCCCTCTGCAGTAAACATTTACACACACTCACCATCCTCCACACACTCACAACTACCTAGGAACCTCACAATAACCAGGCCACTGCCAGATATCAGTGTAAAACCCTGGAGTTTCATTCAATATAACTGAGTTGTATTCTGGCTGTGGGATACATATTCAGATGTGTTGATTTAGATCTGCTGTCCAATAACTCTCTGTCTCTCTGCCAAGATGGAACTCTGATGACACCCGATATTACAGAACAACTCTACACAGTTCCTAGAAACCAATATCAGACATTTATGTTATCTTAAATTCCAGAATATAAGGAATTCTGCTTTCAGGCAGGTCGTCAGACATTCGGCATACGATTTCTAAACCATCTATCCTCTCACAAATTAAATAACATCACTGTAATTATGTTATTATAATCAGCTAATCACAAAACGGCTGTAAAAATGTACAAATTCTCTCAACAGCTCTCCTTCACCAACACCCATCAACCTCTGAATGGCCTAATTGTGCATTCATTATCATTACACATAATCTAGTTAGTTTCTCCTTCAGAAGTGCTAAAGTTCCTGTAGTATCAGATTACAGCCATATCACACTGAGACACTGGCCTCCTTATAAGGGTAAATATATAGGTGCTAACTCTGGGCTTGAACAGTTAATGAAACACAAACAGCTGCCGGCTTGTGTCATGTGTTGGGGAGGGAGAGTCAGAGAGGTATTTACCATGAGGCCAGATAGGGCAGCACTCATGTAAAAGTGGCCGTAGAGTTAGAATGAAAAAAACAGATTTTCCATTTTCCAAGGCCCTGTTCTGTGGAAATACTCTTAAAATCTGTCCTTCTATCTTCCCTTCCTTGAGGTCAACACTGATTTGTATGTGACTGTGTAACAGAGGTTTAACGTGCGCGCGCACACACACACACACACACACACACACACACACACACACACCTTTCCACCCCTTCCCAGTGGTGGTAAAAGTACTCAATTGTCATACTTGAGTAAAAGTAAAAGATACACTATATATACAAAAGTTTGTGGACAACCCTTCAAATTAGTGGATTCAGCTATTTCAGCCACACCCATTGCTGACAGGTGTATAAAATCGAGCACACAGCCATGCAATCTCCATAGACAAACATTGGCAGAAGAATGGCCTTACTGAAGAGCTCAGTGACTTTCAACATGGCACTGTCATATGATGTCACCTTTCCAACAAGTCAGTTGATCAAAATGTTGCCCTGCTAAAGCTGCCCCGGTCAACTGTAAGTGCTGCTATTGTGAAGTGGAAACATCTAGGAGCAATAACGGCTCAGCCGCAAAGTGGTAGGCCACACAAGCTCACAGAACGGGACAGACAAAAATAAAAATACAATAAAAGTGCTGAAGCGCATAGCGAGTAAAAATCGTCTGTCCTCGGTTGCAACACTCACTAATGAGTTCCAAACTGCCTCTGGAAGCAACGTCAGCACAATAACTATTCGTCGGGAGCTTCATGAAATGGGTTTCCATGGCCGAGCAGCCGTACACAAGTCTAAGATCACCATGCACAATGCCAAGCGTCGGCAGGAGTGGTGTAAAGCTTAGCCGCCATTGGACTCTGGAGCAGTGGAAACGCGTTCTCTGGCGTGATGAATCATGCTTCACCATCTGGCAGTCCGACGAATCTGGGTTTGGCGGATACCAGGAGAACGCTACCTGATCGAATGCACAGTGCCAACTGTAAAGTTTGGTGGAGGGGGAATAATGGTCTGGGGCTGTTTTTCATGGTTCGGGCTAGCCCCCTTAGTTCCAGTGAAAATACATCTTAACGCTACAGCATACAATGACATTCTAGACAATTCTGTGCTTCCAACTTTGTGGCAACAGTTTGGGGAAGGCCCTTTCCTGTTTCAGCATGACAATGGCCCCGTGCACAAACTGAGGTCCATACAGAAATGGTTTGTCGAGCTCGGTATGGAAGAACTTGACTGGCCTGCACAGAGCCCTGACTTCAATCCCATCGAATGAATTGGGATGCCGACTGCGAGCCAGGCCTAATCGCCCAACATCAGTGCCCGACTTCAAGAATGCTCATGGCTGAATGGAAGCAAGTCCCCGCAGCAATGTTCCAACATGTAGTGGAAGGCCTTCCCAGAAGAGTGGAGGCTGTTATAGCAGAAAAGGGGGGACCAACTCCATATTAATGCCCATGATTTTGGAATGAGATGTTTGACGAGCAGGTGTCCACATACGTTCTGTCATGTACAGTGGGGAAAAAAAGTATTTAGTCAGCCACCAATTGTGCAAGTTCTCCCACTTAAAAAGATGAGAGGCCTGTAATTTTCATCATAGGTACACATCAACTATGACAGACAAATTGAGAAGAAAAAAATCCAGACAATCACATTGTAGGATTTTTAATGAATTTATTTGCAAATTATGGTGGAAAATAAGTATTTGGTCACCTACAAACAAGCAAGATTTCTGGCTCTCACAGACCTGTAACTTCTTCTTTAAGAGGCTCCTCTGTCCTCCACTCGTTACCTGTATTAATGGCACCTGTTTGAACTTGTTATCAGTATAAAAGACACCTGTCCACAACCTCAAACAGTCACACTCCACACTCCACTATGGCCAAGACCAAAGAGCTGTCAAAGGACACCAGAAACAAAATTGTAGACCTGCACCAGGCTGGGAAGACTTGAATCTACAATAGGTAAGCAGCTTGGTTTGAAGAAATCAACTGTGGGAGCAATTATTAGGGAAATGGAAGACATACAAGACCACTGATAATCTCCCTCGATCTGGGAATCCACGCAAGATCTCACCCCGTGGGGTCAAAATGATCACAAGAACAGTGAGCAAAAATCCCAGAACTACACAGGGGGACCTAGTGAATGACCTGCAGAGAGCTGGGACCAAAGTAACAAAGCCTACCATCAGTAACACACTACGCCACCAGGGACTCAAATCCTGCAGTGCCAGACGTGTCCCCCTGCTTAAGCCAGTACATGTCCAGGCCCGTCTGAAGTTTGCTAGAGTGCATTTGGATGATCCAGAAGAGGATTGGGAGAATGTCATATGGTCAGATGAAACCAAAATATAACTTTTTGGTAAAAACTCAACTCGTCGTGTTTGGAGGACAAAGAATGCTGAGTTGCATCCAAAGAACACCATACCTACTTGTCACGGTTTCGGCCGAGGCTGCTCCTCCTCCTGGTTCGGGCAGGTTTCGGCGGTCGTCGTCCCCGGAGTACTAGCTGCCACCGATCTATGTTTCATGTTCGT